TCTTTAGAAGCCACTTTGAAGATACCAAAGTATAGTACAACTACTCTTGATAATCTCCTATCTCTTTTGTCTGTAACTCACTATTATTTGTCTGTTTGTTTTCCTGAGAAACTATTTTGTAGACAATAATATGTAAAACGGTAACCATTGATAATTTCCTACCATTTTGTCTGTAATTTGCTAAGTCCCCCCTATTATTATGTTATCCTTTTTTCATTCTTTAAAATAAAAAAATAAAAATAAAAAAAAAATTAAAAAAACAAAGTATAACACTGCTGAAATTCATACCCTATACTACAGTAATACCATTTCAACAACTTGTTCAGATTGTAAGAAGAGTTAAACTGGGCCACACACTTTAAACGCTATCAAAAGTTAAAGAAGTGAGATTCCCTACTCATACAAACTTGTAGTACAGTAAGTCACTGACTTATGAACATCTGAGTTGCAAATTTTCACAAGTGTACTGTATAAGACTCACTCTGTTGGATTACAGTGGAATCTGACCTGTAAATGTTCTCCCTTGGGCTGGGGATATAGCTCAGCGGCTTAAGGCCCTGACTAGAAAGTGCAAGGTCATGAGTTCGATTCCCAGTACCAAAAAAAAAAAAAAATTCTCCCAGAACAGAGCTTAAGGTGGGGACTTATTGTAGATGTATTTTCCTCTCAGCTCAAAGTACAGTTGCAAAGCATTTTCTAGACACTAATATAAGGCCAAAGAAAATTTCTCTATTTCAAACTCCATGTAGTTGTTTAAGAGGAATTTTCACCTAACCTTCAACTAGAAGTGATTAATTTACAGTGTAATAAACATGCTAAATAGCAAATATAAAAAGTTTAGGCCAGGCGTGGTGCTGCAGGCCTGTAATCCCAGCACTCGGGAGGCTGAGTCAGGAAGATCACTGTGAGTTCAAGGTCAGCCTTGGCTACATAGTGAGTACAAGGGTAGGCTGAAGTACACAGTGAGACCCTGTCTCAAAAAGACAAAAAAAAGAATTCTATACAAACTCCCAAAGGAATGAACATACTCGCCTGAAGTCATATACGCTTAAGGACCTATAACAGAATGTGGAAGTCCTATCTGTTTAAAAGATTTACAATAAATTTTAATGATACAGCCGGGCGTGGTGGCGCATGCCTGTAATCCCAGCACTCGGGAGGCTGAGGCAAGAGGATTATTGCGAGTTCGAGACCAGCCTGGGCTACAAAGTGAGCTCAAGGCCAGCCTGAACTGCATAGTGAAACCCTGTCTCAAAAAGACAAAACAAAAAATTTTAATGACATAGTAACTATAACTCTGAATGTCAATTAGGTGAAATGTTATCCCACTTGGAAAAGAGACACATCTCTTTATATTTATAAATCTATATTAAGGAAAACTCCAATCAATTAATGAATTTTGAATCTTATCAGTAGTCTGAAAATTTTTCCCCTTATCCTCATATCAACCTTTTGTTTTTACTATCTGGTCCTTTGTAATATAAGTTTAGTCTATACCTCTAGTGCTGTTCCATTCTAGAAATCCTTCCTAACCACCTAGCACTGATTCTGGGGCTCCTGGAAACATCTGGGTAACTTCTCTTAAGAAGAGCTTCCTCATTCTAATATAGCACAACATGCTGATGAACAGAGACAAGTAAAAGAACAAAAAAGAAGAGCTAAAGGTTAAGGAATTGTTGTATAAGGTGCCAAAGCAAAAGTTCTCTATTAACAAAGAAAAAAATAAAGGAGGAGAGAGAGAAAGCAAGCCTCAAAAATATCCTGGGAGGGGACTATGAAATTTTAGGAACTACTACAACTCATTAGTGATTCCTATTATGTGAAAAGTACTTATGATATAAAATAGAATTCAAAATTCTTTGCTCACAAACTACTTAAAATTTAAAGACAAAAAACCAAATCCTAAAATAACTTAATGAAATATTCTAAAAGTTCACAAAGAAATGACAGCAAAGGACATGGAATAATCCAGAAAGGTCTGAAAAAAAGGTAGGAAGAACGCTGAGTCCTAGAAGATATGAAATCAAATACCACGTAGAATAAGAAAACTGAGTCAGACAAACGGGGAAAAGGAGATTGAAACACAGAAGGGATTTTTTTCACTTAAGATCCTTGCAGGAGAATAATATGGTGATAATGGCAGAAAAAAATTGGCAGATTCATACCAGAACGTGAATATCAAAGGCAAAGACTCAGAGCATCACTGTGTAAGTGCAGGGAAGCCTCCTAAGGTTGAAAAGGACCATTCTTGAGTGGCTGGGAGGTCATATACAAAGCAGTATTCTAGATGCTCTGGAAAACTCACCTGTGGATTAGCAGAGACCCTTATAACAAAACTAGTACAGGCTCTGCTAAGGTAAGAAAGCCTGATATAGCTGCACAGCAGTGGAAATGAAAAGAAGAAAGAAGGCAGAACAATAACTGATCAAGAAGAAAAGGAAACAAGAAGTAATTAAAACTTCAAGTCCTGGGGCTAAACCCAATTCACAATGGTAGACTATGTCTACCCTCTCCTCAAGATACAACTAGATTAAGTGTTTTCATGACTTCCCTGAAAGACCCTAATGTGTGACTTCTTATTAAATGGCAACTGAGCAAAAAGTCAAATGTCAGGACAATCTCTAATCTTTAATAAGACGTTCCAAACAAGTGTTTCAGAGTATAGCAATTAGAACTCAGGAGAGGACAGGTGGCTGGATAGAAGTCAAATGTTCTTTAGTATAAAACAAACAACACACACATACACACAAAGCCCAGTAACCTAGTCATAGAAGTGGTTACCCTGGTCACAGGTCTCTACTCACATTCTTTCTCTGTATAGCTACTTCAGCTTGCTAGGTCCAGCTGGTTCTTAGTGCCCAGCTCAATTCCCCTGGAAACTAAGAATGGAGTTCTGCAGACTTCTAGATATACCAAAGCAGACCACAATGGCTGCTGTTTAACTTCCTCTAACCAGCACATTAAAACACTGCACCTACCTCAAAGAGACTGCCCTAAACCTGGTTTAGACCTAGGCTCCAAGGTCTCATGAGAGAATGCTGCTTTCCCTGATGTAACACACAGATGGAAACTCCTGATAATTTAGTGGTCTTACCTTTCAAACCAAGGTTAAAAATTAAAAGAAATGTTTTCTTCTCTGTGACTCCTTGCCCATTACAGGATATCCTGGTGACTGTTGTCTTCCAATTTACCACATTGGCAGATTAGCAAGAATAAAGTGGGATGCAGCTTAAGTTTTCCTATTAAAAGAAAAAAAGCAGATGATCACATATGTTCTTTTTTGTTCTGCTGAAAGCTACAATTAAAAGATACTTTTCCATCAGGGAACTATAAAAAGTTTTAGTTAACTGAGTATTTTTTAATGTGGACACAAGAGAAAAGGGACTGCCATCCTTCTACCCACACTTTTATCCAGCACTAAACAATAACCCCCTAAACTAGATACAGATGTCAAAATAGCACCAGGAGTGAGTGAAGAAAAAGACATATTCTTATCCTTATGTTAAAAAGAAAACATCAATAATATTCTTACCTGTACCTTTTTATAACCCCTAGGTAAGAGCTTTAACAATTATAACTTCTACCAGGAACTTCTGAGTAGAACATAAAGTTCACTAAAGTACTAGCTACAGCCCAATTCAGTCTCTAATGTCTATTAATCATAAGATGCACAGGAAAGGAACATACATTATCTTCCAAAAACACTTCATGTATTAACTTAGTATTACAGAAAAGGACTCCAAATAGTAGATGCTACCTTCATTTGAAAACCTCTAAGAATGTAGTCTGCAAGGCACCTCTAAAAAACACTGTTCATGTAATGCCTTTATTCCACAAACCTCACACTACATTGTTATCAACTCAATACTTCCTTTTAAGAGAAACAAACAAAAATAATAACAAATTTAGGTGAAAAAGAATATTTAATTATAAAAATAAAAACATTTTGCCACTTTTTGAACACACAGAATGATTTTTCACAAATCGCACAACCACCCATTTGCAGGCTGGTCCAACACAGGCTCCCAGAAGAAAGTTACCAGTAGAGCATACCCAGCCCCATCCCTGCACTCCGTTCCATGACACCAAAAGAAACCATGGCTATCAAATGTGCCCAGAACACTGAGAACCCAGGGCTTACCTAAACTGTAGTAAGTATGCTAGAACATAATATACTCTATCTGGAAAGAGGTCTGCTTAATTGTATGTAATTTTGTTTTGGTTTGTTTTTTTTCACCTAAGTTAATAAAGGGGAACACTTGATCTATATTGTTATGCTAAAAAATTTGCTAATTCTAAGGTCAAAGAATACGAGAAATAAGATTGAAAGAATGGAGTGGAGTGCAGGTACAGGACTGCGACTTCTAATAAACATACACTGAAATGAGGTGTAAAACTTGAATAACAGGGCTGGTTAAAGTCATAATCCATACGGACCTAGAAAAAAATAAAGTTAAAAAGTTGCTAAAAAGGAACAGAAAGAATACTGATTTAAAGTCATTCAATGAACATTTAGATCCTTAAATCTCCTTTACCTGCCCTTCCCACAATCAGCAACTAACCACAAGCTAAAAAGAGCCAGTTCTGCTGGGTTTAGTCTATAATCCCTTAAGTATCGCCATGAGTCTGAGGACAGCCTGAGCTGCATAGTGAGTTTAAAGCTAGTCCTAACTACACAGCGAGATTCTGTCTCAAAACAAAAACAAAAAACAATAAATAAAAAGACTGTTCTCTGAACTGGGAGACCTCAGCCCAGCACAGCGGAAGTTGGGCTTGCCATACTGTGCACATAAGGACTGTGTGACAACTAAAGAATGAGTGCTCAAACACAAACACATCACACTGTACCCCACTGTAGGCAGATTTCCCTTACTGGGCTCTTCTTTTTCTGGCCAGTAGGCAAGACCTTTACTCTACAGACTGAAGACTAACACTATGATATGAGTGTAAGGATTTACACTAGTCAATCTGCTACACTATGCAAGTCAAGGAGCCCCATCCAAGACTGAAGCTTGGTGTCAGCAACTTTTATTTCAACCTTAAAAATACTAAACTTGCTGAATAATTTTAAGAGCAGTATAACAAACTCCCTCAAAGCCTTCACCAAGACTCACCAGCTGATACCATTGTATCACTTTCACCTTACTACCCCTGTCCCATATATCTTCACCCACCCACTTAAATGCCTGAGTGATCACAGGCCTTTACCTGTATTTATCTTTGGTGCTGGAGGTTGAACCTGGTGTTGGAGGCCTCGTGAATGCTAAGCACACAGCACACACCGTACCCCTGAGCCATACTCTCAACCTCTTTTACTCTTAAATTCTTCAGTGTTTCCTAAGAACAAGGTATTCTCTTACACAATCACAGAACACATGTCAAAATAAAAAATTTGATGTATAAATTGTTCAATGGGGATTATACAGTTCATATTCCAATTCTGCCAACTGTTGTATAATGTCCTTTAGGGCAATCCCCCTTCCCTTCAATTCAGGATCGCATATCACAACAGATGTCATGTCTCCTTTCTTCTCACCTGAAACAGCAGTTTTACAGCATTTTTTTGTCTTTCATTTCACTAACACATTTCAAAAATACAGGTTACAAGTACATTTCTAGCAGGAATGCCACATAAATGAAACTATGGAGCTAAAAGAGAAGTGATGTTGGGGCCAGGGATATAGCTCAGTGGCATGATGCTTGCCTGGCAAGCATGAGATCCTGAGTTCAATTCCGGGTACAAAAGAAGAGAGAGAAGTGATGTCAATTTTTCCTATTACTGGTGATTTTCATCACCTGGTTAAGATGTTAGATTTCTTCACTGTAGAGTGACTTTTTCCTCAATAATAAGGTATCTGTAGGAAGATACCTACAGACTATGTTCTTAGAACATTAAAGTAGTTGTAGTGCCAATGGCAATTGACACTATGATACTTAAACATGGTAAAGCACTTGTAGTTCTACTGCTCCTTCTGCATTTATTAGGTGACATTCTAATTTCAGTACGGTCTGGTTCCATCTCTCCACGTATTCTCTTTCCTGAATTATCAGTATGGACTCATAGATTCTTATTAGCACCATTAATTTATTCTGATGTTCAAACTGTCCCAAATTTAACCAGTGGGAACTCTTTCAAGGATGCTCATGTATACTTTTCTCATTTCTTGAACACATTTTCTTTTCTTCTTATAACTGATAACAGCTTGTCCCAGACTCATCCTGTTCATTCTCTGCTATAGCTTTGAAATCAGCCATTTCTCCAAGGAATCTTGTTTTCTTTTAGCAAATGACATTATTTAGAGGTGAGGATCACTGGAACACAGTAAGTGACACCCGTAATTTAAAGGAAGGTTTAATTTGGCTCATGGTTTCCAGGGATTCAGTCCGCGACTGGCTGGCTCCAAGGCAGAAACATCACGATGGAAGGGCGTGACAGAGCAAAGATGCTTTGTTCACGGTGGCTGGGAAGTGGAGCAGTGGAACAGTGCCAGAGAGACAAGGGAGAAGGACCAGACATATACCTCAAGGCCATACCTCCATTACCCACCCAGATACACCAGAAGTGTGCTCCACCGGTCCCCTGAACATATTCTAAAGTCACTCAAGGTGACATGTCACCCTAACTACCACGAAAGATTGAAGGAACAAGTATGTTCATAGATATCGAGGCATTCTCACTGCCTCTCCTATTTTATTGTGGACAAAACTGGGAAAGAATGTGTGGTGGACTGACAACTGGTGGTCAACTTATAATACCTAGCTGAACTGAGTAAGGGTGGTGCTGGGTATAGAAGGCCTACCTGAGGATTGTTGCCAGTAGCATATGAGGCAGAACGGGAAAAGAAGAGAGAAGGCTGTTGTGAGCTCGTAGAAGCTGTTAGGAGCCTATTGGAAGCTGAGAGAAGCTGTAAGGAGCTGCTGGTTCTCTTGGAGGACTTTGTCACACTGGCTTTCCTGATGAACTTGGCTGTTTTCATCTTCCAAGAAGCTTGGGACCTTGCTGTCACTGAGAATGGCTTCGGTTCACCTTGGGGGAGCTCTGGTCCTCACTCTGAGCATTGCCTCCTGGCTCCGGAGGGCAACATGGTGCACTGTTCAGTCTCCTGGAAAAGCTTGCTGCACTGGCTTTCCTGATGGGAACTCAGCTGTCCTGATCATCGGAGGAGCTCAGGACCTCACTGTTGCTGAGGATGGCTGTGGTACTTTTTGTGGGGAGCTCTGGTTCTTACTTTGAACACTGCTTCCTAGCTCCAGTGTAGATCCCTCAGCCTGCTAGCACAGATCTTTCATCTCGCTGGCACAGACTTTCTAGATGACCTTTGGACCTTTCAGCACAGATCCATGAAACAGGCCTGCATGAGATATTGTTATGGGCTCTAGGCCTCCAGCTGGACTCATGGGAGGCACTGTTATGAGCTCTAGGTCTTCAGCTGAACTCATGCAGGCCATTACCGTGGGATCTAGGCTGGATTCTTTAGTCTTAGGTATGTGGACAGATTTCCTGCACTCTCTTGTATATGATTCTTTGCCTGACTTAAATAGCCTTATAAAGTATGTGTCCTGTATTATACTGTTCTCCTCTGCAAGGGCTGGGGATTTAGCTCAGCGGCAAAGCGCCTGCCTGGCAAGCGCAAGGTCGTGAGTTCGGTCCCTGGTACTAGAGAAAAACCAAAAAAAAAAAAAAAAAAAAGAAATATCCTCTGCAAAACCCCAAACCATGACAGAATGTTAGTATCACATGATTCAATTTTGTGTTGTGTATCACTGACTTAAATATGAATAAAAACCAAGGACTGCCAAATACCTCCAGAAAGCATCTGTTATGAAACGAAGCAAAACAAAAAATGCAAGAAAAAAATTGGAACAAAAACTGTACAAAAATAGAGAACAGGAAAATAGTAACTGATATCCTAAGAGAAGATAATCCTTCCATTAAAGATGATAGTATTTCAAAAGGTACAGAAAAAAAACTCTTAAAAATTTAAAACTTCACAGCAGAAATTAAGAACTAAAAAGGAAGTTGAAGGTGTCTTACTTTTCTCATTGCTCAGACAAAACACCCAACAACCAAAGTTAAAGAAGGGAAGGTTTATTTAGCTCACAGTTTGCAGAGGTTTCAGTCCATAAGCGGCTGGCTGCAAGGCAGAGTGGCACATGGCAGAGGGGCAACAGTTCATGGCAGTGGAAGACAGCAAAAGCAACAAGTGAGAAGAGCAAGCCTCTTTTCCTCTCTTATATT